CACGGAACGGGACAGCCTCTTTCCCAGGCACATGGACGAACCGCTACCTTGCGGTTATGCCTCCAGGTCGGCCCCAAACGGACAGTTTGACCGCTGTTCCCCAGCAACTGGGCAAGGGCTGGTTTGGGAATAGGAAGGATGCGTTTGAAGCGGGCTCGCCCGGGCAGCCCGGTGCCATCGCGGCGGTTCCCGGAGCCGTGCCCGCGGTGGAAACATGCCCGGGGGGGCTGCTCTGCTGCCGGCTCCGCTCCTCGTCCCGCGGGAGAGGCTGCTGCTGCCCCTGAAAGCAGCGATCTGAGAAGGGATCTGAACAGAACAAATACGAAGAGCGCGTCTCGGGTCTCACCGGGCTGGGTCGGTTCTGCCAAGAAAAAATATAGTCTGAGAACACGGAGAAATGAAGTTGGGTTAATCTGCAAAGATTCAGGCTGAACACAACATCCGTGGGAAAACGCCGAGTTACGAACCGGCGAGGTGAGGCAAGGCAGGGTGTGGCTTTCAGATTCTGGGCAGAACTGGAGGGCAGGAACGGGGCTTTCAATCGAGTAAAGCGGGGTTAATCAGTAAAAGGCGAAGGAAATGGTTTGTAAATGCATGGACCATGATAACAGAGACTCGAGGAGACTTCATGCTTGCTGTTCGGAGGAAGCTCCCCAGGACGCGGGGCTCAAGCGCTGCAGCCGTCGGGAGCGTTCCCTGGTTTTCCAAGAGGCAAAGCGAATGCTTCAGAAAATAACCTGGAACTTTTTTACTGCACAGGACGCACGTCCCCTTGAGAATTGCCTTTCCGACACTGCAGTCACGACTGCTTGTTCTCCTCCTTCCCCTTTGGTCGTGCTTTTCCTTCGACTGCCGTCGGTCAGGGGTAACAATATTGAGTACAGCATACTTAGGGAAGGGATTTAGATTAGTTTTTCCCTTCAACCCCCTGTCAGACATTCTAGATAGACATCTTTTAGACATTTTTTAGTTTCGTTTTCGTTCCCGATTGCCGTTCCCACCCACGGCGCCTGCCCGAGGGATGCCACGGCCGGATCCCTCTGCCGCCCCAGAGCCGGTCGGCCACCGACTGTGCCCTGCCGGGCCTGCCCTCATGGGTCGATGCCGAGCGGGACGCGGGGCTCGCATCGCAGGGCTCCTTCGACTTTTTTATTTATTGGACCCCCCCCAAAAAAAAGCCTGAGCAATCATGCTAACGCCGACACCTCCTATAGCATCCCCCTAACTGGGCTTTGACAGCTGCCTGTGCTGGGCAGGGTTCCTCCCAATTCTAGAGGCAGCGAGGAGAGCACGTTTCCCTATTTCTCGCTGTCCGCTGCAGCTCGGTCCGGAGGATGCGTGTGAACTGTCGCACTGGCCACTGATTTCTTCTCAACGGACAGCCCACACGGAGTGCACGCAGCGGCCAGCCCCAGGCGCTGCTCCCCGCGGGCCGCAAGCGTCGGCACCGGTAACCGATATTAACGATTTGGAGAGCAGCGCGTGGGTTTTCTGCGCCCTTCTCTCCGTTTGTGCTGGGCTTCCCATAGCCTCTTAAACTCAATGAACAGAATGCCCAAAAATTACCACGAAAGGTCCCCGCTTCTGTGGTTCCAAAGGCCACCTTAGCGCCCGCCCCTCGGATGCGCCGCGGCAGGGGGAGGCCTCCACCTCTCCCCCTTCCCGGCGCTGCGGAGCCGCCCAGGGGGCAGCTGAGGCCGTGCGGAGCGTTAGCTGGTGAAAAGGGGCTGCGGGGGGCAGAGGAGGGGAGACCCCGGCTCGAGCCGCCCCTCCCAGCCCCGTGTTGTGAAAGCGGATCTCGCCCTCGCGTGGCGTTTCCTCGCCCCCCTGCGCCCCGCTGAGGAAGTGTGAGAGGGGACCGGGGAGCCTTTTCCCGCTCCCGTTCCGCCAGACGCCAAGTCCCTGAGCCGCTGTCATGTGATAGAGAGAGAGCAGGAGCCGCGGGGGTCTCCCGGCTCGGGCAGCATTACAAAACCGCGCTCCGCGCGCAGCCCCGACACAGCCTCGACCGCGGCCGCCCCGCTCGCCTCCCACCCGCCGCCGTCAGCGCTCGCCTCTGCCGCAAACTTTTTCTGGGGACGCCGGACTGAGCGGTGAGAGGGGCGTTCCGAGTTCCTTCCTCCCGCCTCTGCAGAGACCCGGGGTCATTTCGTATTCCCTAGTCCTCGGTGCGTGCGGGGCAACGACTCCAGCGGAGAGCGGGGCAGCGGTGACGCCCGAGCGAGCCGGCGGCCGCCCAGAGCAGAAGGGGGACACCCGCGAGGGCCAGGAAAAGCCCCAGACCCGCGCCCCCACGGCCCAGCAGTCCGGGAACGGGGCGAGGCCGCCCGAGGGAGCTGAGCGCTGATCTCGCGGAGCAGCCGCGGTCGCGCGCGGTCCGTGCGGGCGACTCCCACGATGTAGAGGCGGCGGCGGGACAGGGCAGCGCCGGACACAGTGTCCCCATCCCGCCGTGCGGCACCGGGGCCAGCGGCCGGGAAAGAACGGCTGCGGGGCGGCGATGCCCAGGCCGGGGAAGAGCTCGTACAGCGACCAGAAGCCGCCCTACTCCTACATCTCGCTGACGGCCATGGCCATCCAGCACTCGGCCGAGAAGATGCTGCCCCTGAGCGACATCTACAAGTTCATCATGGAGCGCTTCCCCTACTACCGGGAGCACACGCAGCGCTGGCAGAACTCGCTCCGCCACAACCTCTCCTTCAACGACTGTTTCATCAAGATCCCGCGCCGCCCCGACCAGCCGGGCAAGGGCAGCTTCTGGGCGCTGCACCCCGACTGCGGGGACATGTTCGAGAACGGCAGCTTCCTCCGCCGCCGCAAGCGCTTCAAGGTCCTGCGGCCCGAGCACCACCTGCCCGGCGGCGGCGGCGGAGGCGGCGGCGGAGCGGGCGGCGCGGCGAGCGGAGGTCCCGGGAAGCCGCCGGCGCCCGGGGGCCCGCACATGGCTCACTACTTCCACCCGCACCCGCCGCCGCCGCCGCCGCCCCCTGGCAAGGTGCCGGGGCTGGGGGGCCCCGACGCGGCCGTGGCCGCCGCCGCCGCCGCCGCCGCCGTGGGGAGGCTGCCGCAGTTCTCGCCCTACGGCGGCAGCCAGCCCTCGGGCTTCAAGCATCCCTTCGCCATCGAGAACATCATCGGCAGAGATTACAAGGGCGTGCTGCAGGCCGGCGGGCTGCCGCTGGCCTCGGTGATGCACCACCTGGGCTACCCGGTGCCCAGCGGTATGGTCGGCTCCGTGTGGCCCCACGTCGGGGTGATGGACCCCGTGTCCGGCGTGCCCGTGTCCCCCGACTACGGACCCTTCGGGGTGCCCATGAAGGCGCTCTGCCATCCGCCGGCGCAGACCATGCCCGCCGTGCCAGTGCCCATCAAGCCGGCTCCCGCCCTGCCCACGCTGACGGTCGCCGCCTCGCAGCTCTGCCCCGCCGCCTCCCCGGCCTCCGCCGCGCTCCTGGAGCAGGCGGCGGGCGCCGCCCCCGAGGGCAAGGGCTCTCTGCACTCCGTACTGGTTCACTCCTAAGGGCCGGGGCCGGGGGCACGGCGGCTCCCGGGACGGAGACGCGGGGAACACGCGGGGCCCAGTGCCCCTCGCCCTGCGGTGTCTGTGTTTGTGTTGTGTGCAATCAGACTTTATATGAGCCAGGTCGCAGGTAAGAGCTTTTATCGTCGTTGCATATCTTTAGTGACGGGGAGGTGATGCGGAAAGTCAGGGTCGGGCCGCGCAGGAAGGATTCGGGGCTGCCGGGGCTCCTGTCGGAGTTTCCCCTACGGACTCGGGGTCTGCCGGACAGCGGGACGGGAGCAGCGGACAGGCGAAGCCGCCCCTGCGCTCTGTTCTTCCCCGCTCCGTCCCCAGCTCTGCCTCCAGCAGCGCCCGCTCCGCGGCGTGGGGGTCCCGTTCCGAGGGAGGCGGCCGACACGCGGGTATCGCCGCGGGGCCGCGGGGAGCGAAGTGCTCTCCGTTTGACGAGTGAGCTCTGAGCTGCTCAATTAATTAGTGGGGATTTAAATGACAACGGCGCTGACGTCGGAGGGCCCTTTTAGCTATCGGCTGCTCGTTCTTCCCCTCATCTCAGTGTGTTCTTCCACACTCCATCTCAGTGAGGGTCGTTCCCGGGGAGGGACAGCAGTGCGACCTCCCTGGCCGTACCCGATCCTCCTTAGAATGAAACCAGCCCCGCCATTCACAGTTCGCGTGTGCTTGTCTCATCAACCCTCGCCGCTCACGGACACCACTGTTCTGTGTGTGTCGCTTGGCGTTTCCTCAACGTGAGCGTGAACGCTAAAACCTGTTGGGTGGGAAAAGAAATAATGAGAAAAAGAAAATAATGAAAAATTCTTCGGGAAAAGCACTTTAGTGAAAACAATCTTCCGACAGAGGCGAGGTCCGTGCCGAGCAGGGGGGTCAGAATCCGGAGAGCCGCTGATGAGTGCTGGCTACTTTGGTAGCGACTGCTGCCCTCCCTGCTGTACCCCAGTGCTCATTAAACACACCTATCCATTTGCTTCTGCTGGTGCTATTCACCGCAGTGTTTGCTTTTTACGCCGGGTGAGGGACGTGCGCTTGCAGCGCACGTTCCTTTCGCCCCAGACAGATTAGACGACCCAAACGTTCCCTCGGCGATAGATACGGAAGGGAATAGATGGAACCCCCTCAGAGCCCGCGGCTTTCTCCGGGCTCGGGTCTCAGTCGCTGCCCAGGACGTCCCCGCCTCGCGCGCGACAGCCCCTGTGTGGCAGTTCCCTCCCCCGCGTTGGGCTCATCCTTCCCGGTCCCCAGCGCAGGAACTCATTGGGAAAAGCAGACGTGTATCCCGGAGAGCCCTGCGCTCAGTGCTGGCTCCGGATGTTCCGCGGAGATCGCAGGGTGCCGGTGGGGGCAGCTCAGAATCACCCCCGGAGATGGAAAGCACCACTGGTGATGCAGCTGCGGTTTATCGAGGCAGTGCTGCGCGTTAATGTTGTTAACGAGTCACAGGTCGGTACGGCTTTTCAGAAGTTGGATTGTCAGGGCAATTGCCGCAGAAGTTTTGCAGCCAGATAAACCGAGCAAAAGAAATTATGAAGGAAAAAAAATATATATATACAAAGTGTTCCACGTTTTCTTTACCCCGCTGTCTTCCATTTTAGGCAAGAAAAACCGAGACGGTATTTCTGCTGCTAAAAAGTCGTTGCTTATAAAGAAAGCAGTCTCCCAAATAAATCACGAGTTGCACTAATTTCGCATGGCTCGGTACGCTTATGTATGTCCCACCGCCCTCGGCGCTCCGAAGCACCTCTAGGAAGGAAGATTTCCCCTGAGAAAGGTGTCAGGGGCGAGAGAGATGGGAAAACCGGAGCGCGGGTCTCAGCGATCCCCCTAGGAACAAACGAGACGCTTCTAGAGAGCCTGGAAGATTCTGGGCAATGTGCTAAGTTGAATAGGGGAAAACTTTATTTAGCTGCAGGAGAATGATCTGGGAAGCGGCGGGTGGGCAGCAGGACCCAGCGGGGCACACGGGGGAGAGCGGGGTCCGGCGGCGGGCGGGGGGCGACGGGGGCCGCTGCGCGGGGCGATGCGCCGAGCCATGCTGCCCGTCCGAATGGGTTTCTCGTGCAGGCGGCAGCAGATGGCAAGCGGGAGGTGAGTCTAAATAGTCTATACATTATCTCTTGCTTTTAAGACTCCAAGCGCAGACTTTGTATTGTTATGACATTGAATATCGACGACCGGTGTTCCTAAATTGCAAACAAAACCGATCCCAGTGCTGCTCAAAAACAGATGAGGGTATGGAGTCTAGGAAAATAAAACCGCTCTTTCCTCCAGACAAAAACAAAACAAAACAAAACAGTCACACAACTGGAGTAGGGTAAGATTATTACTTGACAAGAAAACAGACCCACAGACTTCTGCCTGTCTGCTATCACAATACATGCAGAAACGACTTCCTTCAAAGTAAAGCACCTCTGTGCTCTGTACAGAAAAAGCATCCGAGCCTGGGTGGGAGCAGACGGGTTGGCTGTAATCCGAAGAAGCAGATGTAGGAAAGACAAGCAAGCTTAGTCCTGGTGCCATTAGACTGCCAAAGGTAGCTGAGAAATTGTTAGAAGAATAGTGGCCTAAGAAAAGAAATAATCCTTCTCCCCATATTTCTGACTCATTGTGGCTAGCTAACATAATGAAGAGTATTTCTACTTATGAGAGACTGTTCCTATATGGTATACCTAACAAGGCACTATGTTATCAGTCCATAAGGGACACATGTCAAGAATAGCCACGCAAAGGCAGTAAGACTTATAGAATGAAAGTGTTTTATGGTCTTCTATATTGCAGTCTCTTTGATCAGTGAATTCTGAGCTCAGTGACACCTGCTGCAATGTAACTACCAATATTATTTGAGGAATTCTAGGCTCTGTTGATTGAGTCCTGAAGTCCTTTGTGCCAGAAATTGATCTGGGAAGTCTGCTGATGTTTGCAGGATCTCACTTTTCCTTTTGGCTGTTTTAAGATACACTCATTCCTTTAAGTGCTCAAAATTCATAAGAATCTCAGTTTTGAAAAGTAATCTTCCACCTTCGCTTCTGGACATCCTGGAAACATTCAAGTTTTCTGAACACACAGTAAGATTAAACAGCTTTAATTAGATAAACTAGGTATAATTTTAGACTTATATATGCTAAATACCAAATCTTAACTGCCTAAAGCTCTACCCTGAATATATGTTATTAATCCGTGGTCCTCCTTTTTCTCTGGTACAACATGGTCACTGTTGCTGCCCACACAAGAAGGCCAAATTATTAGAGCACTTCTCAAGCCTTCTAAAGGAAGTTCAAGACCTCTTCAGTACAAAAAGGTTCACCTCCACCTACCAGTGCCAATCAAATATAGGATGGCAGATGGAGAGGAGTCATGCCATCACTTAAGAATAAATGTAACCTTAGTGAAATGCCAAGTAAGATGCAAGATCTTTTCCACAAAGGCAGAGTCCAACAGCCGTTGGGGAAAATACATGGCGACTGAGGATGGGAAAGTAAGGACTGGAAAAAGTGGCAAGTTTTTACAGTGAAGTACCACGTGAATTGGTGTTGGGTGTCCCAAAAACTCATAGTTGTTGTAAGTAGAAGATGTGGAAAAGATAGGGAAATTTTTAATGATATTAAGTCATCCAGACCAACAAAAAAGGGGAGCTGGCAAATTTGGAGCTGCAGAAAGACTTCTACACTGAGTTGCAGGATGGTAAATGGAAGGCGAAACTCATTCTTGATATATGCAAACTGATATGCATGGGGATTTATGTACATAAAAATAGGTCCTGAAATTAGAATTCTTATGATGTTGTGGTTGAAGTGTCTAAGAAAGCATTGTCTCAGTAGTTGCTAGATGTAGAAAAACAAGTTTAAAAAGTCATGAGGAAGATCATAACAGAAAATATCACGTTCCTGTTATATAAGTCCTAAGTAAAGTGGAATGCATTATGGAGTTTGGTAATTTCCTCCACCTAAAAGCAGATAGATAGCTGTCAGGAGACAGAATCAAAGGTATGTCTTCTGTACAAGTAGAATTCAGCAGGCTAAGGGTCTTCAGAGTGGAAGGAAAGGGTGTACAGTCGTATATATATTTAGTTGGGTGTGATGATCCTGTCTGGATCCCTTCCAACTGGGGATATTTCTATGATTCTGTGATTTGAATATCTGTGTCCTGGTACTGTAACACTGGTCACGTCTGCAGTATGCATGTCTGAGGCATCCGTGTCAGTGTACTGCTTTAATCTACATCTCTTTCTCTGCTTGCAGAGCTATTGAAAAAAAAGCTGTTTGCTTTGAGGAGAAAATGATCAAGTTATGGCACATGATAAATGAGAGGACCCTGGTGTTGAGCTTCAGAGAGCTTTAAAATGTAGGTTTTAATGCATCTTATATCCACGATGTACTGCAGTTCTGTAATATTTCTCTGGACTTTTATGAATGCTTAATCTACGCTGGGAGAGGCACTCATTTTCAGTGAGGAATAGCACCACGTTTTCATAGCAAAGCACCTAGGGGAAAGGTGTCAGTCTGCACTACATGGTACTTTTGTTATACTATGCGTAAAGATAACTATTGCATGGTAGACATTGACAGCCTTTGGAACAACCACAGGGACCAAGAATACAGAGACTGAGCTGAAAGCAGTCAACTGAAAAAGCAGAAAAAAGTGATATCCTTTATCCATTAATCACAGCTTCCTGATGTCAAGAAAATGTAGTCTTTTTGGCCAAACACCACTGTTAACCAGTGAATAAATTATTAGTCAAACAGTCATTTTACTGATAAAGGTTCTTCATTTTTATCTACTGTCAGTCTTCACACTAACAAAAGAGTCTCCTAACTGTACACAACACACAGCAAACTCCCAGTGTGGATCAGGCCTTTCTTTCATCATAATAATCCAAAGCTCAATCAGTGTTTAATTCTGGACAGAAGTGCAGGAAGAAAATAGAAAAAAGTATTTTGTTATGTACTAAAATATTTGCTTGCACCATAGATCTGTGACTGGAAAAT